TGTGACCATGCTCCATGGGAGGGTGCTTTCTCACTTTCCCTCTCTCCATTTCCAGCAAGCACTCACGCCCTTGTAAAATTCTAAGAAAAGAAAACAAAGATGACTGGATAGAGTACTTTTCCTCCCTCACTCTTCTCTTTTTTTTTTTTTGGGAGAGGTTTTTGCTATAGGGTGCGTGCACTCGCCAGACAGAGAGAGAGACAGAGAGACAGAAAGCGAGAAATCACTCCCCAGGGGGGATGGCCATGCCGCAATCCCTTCTCCTCCATTCACCTCTCAGGATCTTGGGCACGCATGCACACGTGCCCAGCGTGTTTTAAGCCACCCGGTCCGGGACTCGAATCACGTTGACTATATGGGAGTCCAGTGACATAGCCATTATGCTAACTGCTGGTCCCTCCCTCACTCTACTCTTTCAAGTTTGTAATTTCTTCCATGAGTGAAAGACAGCACCCCCAACAGGGTCTCAACACCGACATCCACCCCCAGCCCTCCTCAGCCAGCCTCAGATCATAGGCATGCCTTGAACTTAGAACCCACTCACATGGGTCAGCATTGCATTTTACCACTGCACCATTGCCTGACCCCTCTTTCTCACTTACCATCTTTCCCATTTGAGAACTCTGGAAGTTTTCAAATAGAGGAATATTTCCCCAAATGACTATATAGCTGATCACCTGGAGCAATTTTCAAAATGTTCTGATTATGGTACCCAGGAATGTGCTTTCCTGACAACCAGCACTGGTTCCTGCAGCCCTTAGACAACTATGGTTACAGTGCTTCCCTGCATTTGCGGTCTTCCTCTCCTCGGAAACGGGAGTACCAGCAGACACCCAAGGAGATGGCCTGGGTAGTTCCACCTGTCCAGTTATGTCTAAGCAACCTATTTCCCCTGTTTGCCACGGTTAATGACTTCTTTTTTTTTTAAGAATTATTCTAGGGACCAGCAGTTAGCATAATGGCTATGTCGCTGGACTCCCATGTAGTCAACCATGGTTCGCGTCCTGGATCCAGTGGCTTAAAACTCACGCTGGGCGCGTGTGCGTGCATGCCCAAGATCCCAAGAGGAGAATGGAGGAGAAGGGATTGCGGCGTGGCCACCCCCCCTGCCCCCCGGGGGGTGATTTCTCACTTTCTGTCTGTCTCTGTCTGGCGAGTGCACGTGTTCTATAGCAAAAACCTCTCAAAAAGAAAAAAAAAAAAGGAAAAAAAAATAATTATTTTATTTAACTTCATTTACTTATTTTAACCAGAGAGGGACACAGTGAGAGAGAGAGAGGGAGAGAGAGAGAAAGCAAGCTGCCAGGTCTGAGACTAGAACCATAGTGGCCAAGTGGGGGGAGTCCAGTGCCCTTACCCACCACACCACCCAACAGCCCCCAAGGTTAATTACTTCTACCAGCATGGTGACTCCTCTTATCTATTGATCCCTGGAAACAAGGAATCCAAAGAGTCCTGGAAGCAGCCGTGACTTCAAGTTCAGTAGGACCCTAGCCATGTTACCTGGCAAAGTGCTCCTCTGGGGGCTCTTCAATTATGGGGCCCAGAATGCTGGGATGGAAAGCACAAACTCGCCGGGGTTACTGGGAGTGATGATAAGTGGGGCATGTGTGTTTCTCTGCATCAGCTTCTTGATCCATGTATTCTTCCTACTGGGGAACACAGCACCTTAGAGAAGTCTAAGTTACAGCAGAGTGCGTGAAGTGTTGCTTCTGTTTCAGCTGTGCCTTTATGTACTTTGTCTCTTTTTTTAGAGAGATTTTTGGTGTAGGATGTATGTACTTGCTGAAGAGACAGAGAGACAGAAAGTGAGAAACCCACCCAGGAGGATGGCCACACCGCAATCCCTTCTCCTCGGGATCTTGGGCATGCACACACAAACACACAGTTTTGAGTTTCAAGCCTCCAGGTCTGGGACTCAAATCGTGGTTGGCTATGTGGGAGTCCAGTGACGTAACCATTATGCCAGCTGCTGATGCCTCAGCTGTGCCTTTGGAAGGTCATCACCAGGACCCTGTGATCTGGCTGCTCCTGGATATGACATGATATGCCCAGCAGATCCCATGATCATGGGCCTGCTTTCACACTTCCCACACTCGAAGGGAGCTCCTGCTGTGCTGTGTGGCCATTGGTGATCCAATTGACATTCTGCTGACTGAGTCTCTGAGAGCAGGAAAGGTAAACCCACACCTGGAATAGTTCGTCTGGTCCGGTGAGGACAAACTGCTGGCCTTTGCAGATAGAAGGGGTTTAACATAATTGTCTTGCCACTCAGTGCCCGCTTGGTCTCCCCCAGAAATAGTGCATATCAGAGAGTTGGTGCTGGTCTCTGTTACTGACAAGCTGGACGTTCAGAGGCAGCAGCAGCAGCTTGCTCGGTCTTGGTTAAGTGGGAATTCACACTGCTGAGTTCAAACGTAGTCTCCATTTCTGTCACTGCCTGCTTTGTTCATGGGCCCAGATCGTCAGGCCTTGCAGTGGCTTAGGCCACGCTAATGTCAATCGGCCAAGCCATTTTTGCATACTTAATTCCTCAGTCCCACTTCCCTGGTGGGCATTACCATGACATAAAACCACTCTCATGTTTATCCATACTTCTTGACCCCAACCAGACTGTTGGACCCTGTCCAGAATTCTGTATATATTCTCACCTTAGACAACTTCTTCCATACAAACTGAAAAGATCAAGGGCACAGCCATCAATCAGCTCTACCCACTGAGAATATTTCTCACTCTCCATATTTTAGGGCCACACCTTTCAGTGTCACATATCACACATCTTTTCTGCTTTTTTGTTTTCTTAAGAATTATTTTATTTAACTTTATTTATTTTAATTTGACCAGAGAGGGACAGAATGAGAGAGATACAAAAGGAAAATGAGAAAGCAAGCCGGCAGGCCCGGGACTCGAACCACAGTCAGCCATGTGAGAGTCCAGAACCCTTAACCACCATGCCACCTGCCGGCCCCCCCAGTGTCACACATTTTTAACAGTGGCTATAATCTCCACCATCCCCTTTCCTCTCATTTTTTTTTTTAAAGGTTTTTATCATGGGGTACATGTGCTCGCAGGAGAGAGAGAGAGAGAGAGAGAGAGAGAGATCACTCCCCCAGGGAATGGTCACTCTGCATGCAATCCCTTCTTTTCCATTCTCTTCCTGGGATTTCAGGCACATATACACATGAGCCTGGTGTAATTTTCAAGCCACCAGGTCTGGGACTCAAACCACAGTCAGCCATGTGGGAGTCTAACACCTTAACCACTATGCCACCTGCTGGCCCCATTCCAGTGTTTTTCATTTAGATCTCAGCCAGGGTAGAGTTTAAAAGGTTTGCATTTGCCCTTTCCTGCTGTGATAGTTATTACCCGACAGGCCAGGATACAACCTGGGTTATTCCAGATTATGGTCAATTATATATTTGGGAGCCGTGGAAATCACTGGGTGGACCCACATCCCTGGTTGGCTTGCTGTGAGCCACACTTTTGGCAGGACTCCATTATTAACTGGCACCCAGAGGCCAGGAGGCTGAGGATGCTTTGGACCCCTGATTCTGAGTGTCAGCTCAAGACCTATGTCCAATAGTCCTCAAAATATTAATTTCCCTTTTGCTCATGTAGTCACCCAAGTAATGGGCCCTGAGTTCCTTTGGGACTCGGAAAGAGGGACAAAGCAACCCCCTAAGGCGCATAGTCATATCACAAATCTTTCTCCATCCTATCAGGATTCTGGCACACATGCACACATGCCTGGTGTGTCTTTCATCACTCAGGCCAAGATTTGACCTACCTGGGATCCAGCTCCCTTAACTACTAGTCTATGGCGCTTGCCCAACATTCTGTCTTTTAAAAGCAGGAGGCAGTGGGACTGGCACCAAATGTCCAGGATCCTGGCAGGCTAGAAGACTGGAGAAGGGCATCATGGACTGAGCTCTATGGAGGGTGTTTCTCTCTCTCATGCGTACATGCTCTATCATGAAAATAAAATATTACAAGAGGGCTTTGTAAACTATAAGGGGTAAACAGCAGGGATTCTCACCAACCAAAGGAAGCAGAATGATTAAAGCACAACAACACAGTTTTTGGGACCAGCCGGTAGTGTGGTGGCTAAGTGGTTGGACTTCCACATGGCTGACTGCGGTTCGAGTCCTGGACCTGGTGGCTAGCTTTCTCACTTTCCCTCTCTCTCTCACTCATTCACTCTATCCCTCTCTGGTCAAGTTTAAATAAGTAGATAAATAAAGTTAAATAAAATAATTTAAAAAATTCACTTACAGCCATTCACTGAAATGGTAAATACAAAGGACTGCAAAAAACAATAATGCTGGGTTTCTTAGTCCCTTGGGGCTTACTTCTACCCCAGAAACTGTCACAGGCCCCTGGAACAGCAGGCTCTGTGACAGTAGGCTTATACCAATGGACCCAATCCTCCTGGAGTCCAGTGAACTGATAGACATCTTTAGCCTTTCCAGCCTGATCCCAGAGCACCATGATTTACAGTAACAGAGTTTCCTGAACTGACGCCGAGGCAAGTGGCCAGAATTGGCTAAGCAAGAACCCAGGAACACACATGTGCCAACAGCTGCTGCCACTGTCAGAAGCGCTGCCAACTACAAGAAATGAAAGGAAGAAAGGTCTTCTTTTCCTCCCGTATCCAAAGAAATCTCCTGGTTCCAGAGAAATCAACAGGAAGAGAAACCTGCAGGCAGGAGTCAGAATTGGAGATCACAGATCCGAGAGCAGACACTATAAGCAGTAAGGGGGAATGTTCTTCAGAGGCGACACATCGCTTCCCATTAGCACGGGAAAACACAATTGCCCATTAAGGCCTCAACCACCGCATCAGATTAAGATGTTTACTCAAGATCCAGAGCCCATCGGTATGGTTCAGACCCAGACTCTGTGAAATGACGAAATCTACCAGGCTGGGATCAGACCTTCTCACCAGGCAGACATGTTCCTGCCTCTAACAGTCAGACACAAAAGACCAGGAACTTTCATGCATGGCAAATTCTTTATTTTCATATTAACATTAAAACATAAAATACAAACAAAAACATATAGGACGTGAACAGAGATCCATGGCCCTGTTTCCAAAGTAGGCACAAAGATAGTTACAATGACAACATATTTTGAACCACTTTAACCCAAACTCTCAAAAGGGAAAACAATATTCGAAGTAGGGCTGAGGGAACATGTGGGACGGAGCCCGGCAGTGCCAAAGACCAGCCCGAGTCTACAGTGCAGTCTCCAGCGGGTGGTGGGGCGGGGATGAGGGTGAGGGCTTTTTCTTTGGAGAAATGTCACAGACATAACATTTGCTTCTAAAACATCCAAATTTACTACAGGAATGCAAAGATTGGCAATGCTCGCGACTTGCCCAACTTCCCTGGTAGTGAGTCCTGTGGTCCTACTCACAGGGGTCTCAGTCAGCATCAGTTGAGTGTCCTTCAGAGCAGGTCAGACCCAAACCCTGCCCAACCAATGACAGAGGCAGCCAAGACCTGCCCACCCGGACCCTCCTCTCTGTGACAATCTAGTGAAGCCAGAGAGTCCTGCTTTCTAATTCAAATCTCAGCCACTGAAGCTCCAGGCCTGGGTAGCCACTCTTAATTATCAATAGATCACAAGGGGTATCTTCTCTGAGGAAAAAGAGCTTTTCCCAGGCCCCGGAAGCTGGCTCTTTGAAAGATGTCCTCAAATTGGGACCAGCAGGTGGCGTGGTGAAAGATGTCCTCAAGTAGGAGGCCATTAAAAGGCACAACTAGAATGTGGAACTCTGGGGAAATCTGCAACAATCCTTCGCTGGTGAGACAGAGCCAGGAACAGCTCAGGAGCTGACAGGTCAGCAGTGTTTTACAATAAAAATGATAACATTTTTCTAACAACTGTTTAAGAAAATTACACCGTCAGCCTCTTCCCAAGAACAGGGCACTGACCTGCCCATCCCTGAGGCTGTTCTGCTCTGGACAGAGGGTTTACAGAGTAGCATCAGGCAAAGCAAAGCGATGTAAACTGAGTCTGTTGGAGACAAGTGCAGTTCCCCATCTGGCTACTTCAGGGCTGGAATGAAAGCGGGTGGGCACTTGCCTGCCACCCACATAGGCCCCCCACCACGACTCTCTTCCTGAAAATAACTATTTTACTAACCACGCTTTTAGAAAAAGTTAGGAAGGCAAGTCAGAAGACCTTAGAATCAAACATCACTTTCATACAGGGGAACTCTGAACCAGGAATTACAAACACGCTCAGTAACAGCCCCACACTCCACGAGACTGGCTTTATTCGGACAAGAACACCCTTGAAACGGGAGAGACAAGCCTTTCTTGGCTGACAGCAGTCTGAGCAGCTGCTCTTTTAGTTAGCCCCTTGTTCCTGATCTTTGACACTAGGGAAGACTCAGGTACAAACTTTGATATTTGCACTTATTTTTTCCTAGAAAGAGGGAGCAGCAGTCATCTTTGAAGCACTTGCTTACATAAAACAAACCCTGAGGTCCTAGGCTAGCTAGAAAAAACAAGTCTTTACCACTCAAACCACTGGTCTCTCCTTCACTCTCAGTGCAGTGAACTTCCAAGTGCTCAGTGTTAGCAAAGGTGTAGTGCTCACCAGCTGCCTCCGTCACTGGGCTTGCCGACATCCCAGCACGGAATGCTTGGAACAGAACGGCTGCTGCACACCAGACATGTTCTACCACACACTTCTGTGGGATGAGACTGAGCTACTAAAAAGTTTCAGCCTTCAAGGTCAGAACTAAATCGAACTCTGCACAGGCTCTATAGTGCCCTCTTGTGTTCAACAGAAAAACTTGGCACTCCAAGCAATTAGCCCTAGTGTTACAGCCATGTAGGCAGTGTCCGATGGCCCAGGAAATGCTCGGTGCACACTCATATCTTAAAGGACTGCTGAGAGGTCACTCTCTATGACCTGGGGTAGGAAGTCAGATACAAAATCAAGATTCCCAGCAAAGACTCAGGGAGATTTCTGACACAAGAAATTGGTAATGTAGATGGAGCGTCAGTCACTCATTCTTTTGGTAGACAAAGCAGATACACAACCCATCGTGTCTCAGTGACCTGCAGGCCCCAAATCACACTAATCTAAATGAACCAAGATCCCCAAAGTTCTAGACCAAAGGCAACAAAAGGGATCTAGCTCGGGACTGCTAGGGATTTGCATACAACACTAAACATTAGCACTCAGCAGCACGGTCAAGTCCACAGTCACTCCCACCGATGGATGTGGACCATCTTCTCTGTTAAGGTAGCCAAGTAGCTGCTGCTGTTCACCTCGAATGGGCAGACGTCCAGGACAGGCTGGTCGGTCTTCAGGTCCTGCAGCAACGAGCCACTGCCTGCATCCCATAGCTAAAGGATACAGCAGAGGTAAAGGCAGGGTCAGTCATTTCAGCCATGAGAATGGCTTTATCAGATGATTTATCAGATGACATTTAAAAAAAAAAAGACCATACACATTTTTTCTTTCTTTAAAAATTCATGATAGAGTGTGTAGATAGTACCAAGGTACTATGCACACAGACAGATATGTGAGATTATGAAGTGGGAGAATGCCAGATTTTTACTCTGTACCTGTCTGTATAAAAACATTCAGGTTTTTGGGTCAGCAGGTGGTGTGGTGGTTAAAAGTGCCAGATCACACATGGCTGACCCCATGGTTCAAGTTCTGGCTCCAGCAGCTTGAAAAACACATCAGGGACGTGTGTATACCCAAAATCCTGAGAGAATAGTGGAGTAGGGACTGTGGCATGGCCATCCCCCTGAGGGGATTTCCACCCCCCTCTCTTTCTCTGTCTCTCTCTGGAGAACACACGTGCCCTATGGCAAAAACCTAAAAAGAAAGAAAGAAAGAAAAGGCTTTCTTCTACCAACATTTTAAACAAAACTACTTTTCAAAAATTATTTATTTCATGGGACCAGTGGGTGGCGTGGTGGTCAAGGTGCTGGACACTCACACATGGCCAACCGGGGTTCGAGTCCTGGACCTGGTGGCTTGCTTTCTCACTTCCTCCCTCTCTCACTCTCACCCTCTGTTTCTCTATGGTCAAATTAAAAAATCAATGAATGAATAAATAAAAAATAAAATAAATAATTTTTTTAAAAATAATTATTTATTTCTATGTTCTTATGGAGTCCAACACCTTAACCACTGCTCCACCTGCCGACCCCACGAAAATACTTTTTATGTGAAATAAAAATAGGCTTACCAGAGCAGATTTTGATGCTTCATCCCCAGTACACACCAAGATGCTGCCATTATTCTCTGGACTCTGAAAAATGGCACTTTTGGTCAAGAGTTTACAAGTGGGTCCCCCAAGGAATGTCTGCACAGGATAGCAAGAGCAGGTTGTCTCGCCAACATCGTTCAGCCTGTAGGACATCTCCATCAGCACGCTCCGTATGGTGTTGTGGTTTTTATCTACGGGATAGAGAAATCAGTGCTGCCACACAGAGATGGCACAGAAGAATTAAGTACTGAATTAAGAATTCAGTACCTGAACTTCAGAGTTACAACCTAGTTGGGCAGAAAAGCCACAAGTATATTAAACGGTTAAGAAGAGATACCGGAGGGAACCAGCAGTTAGTGTAATGGCTATGTCACTGGACTCCCACGTAGTCGACTACAGTTCACGTCCCGGACCTGGTGGCTTAGAACTCACGCCGGGCGCACGTGTGTGCGTGCCCAAGATCCCGAGAGGAGAATGGATTGTGGCATGCCCATCCCCCCTGGGGGGTGATTTCTCGCTTTCTGTCTCTATCTGTCTGTCTGGCGAGCACACATGCCCTATAGCAAACGACCCCCCCCCAAAAAAAAAGAATAGATACTGGGACCAACAGTTGGGGCAATGGCTATGTCACTGGACTCCCATATAGTTGACTGTGGTTCACGTCCCGGACACGGTGGCTTAAACTTACACTGGGCACGTGTCTGTGTGTGCCCAAGATCCTGAGAGGAGAAGGGACTGCAGCGTGGCATCCCCCCTGGGGGGGTGATTTCTCACTTTCTGTATCTCTGTCCTGTCTCTGTGTTTTTGGCAAGCACACGCGCCCTATAGCAGAAACCTCTCAAAAAAAGAGGCAACAAAGTAAACACAATAGCAACAAAATAATAATAATAGCACAAATGAGTTCAGTCCTCTAGGCTAGGATGAAGCAAGTTACCTACAGTAAGTTAGTGTCTATAAGAGAAGCCATTCTGAGAATGAGCTTTCTGTTTTGGTAAAATCACTATCCTGCCAGACTTCTGCTTAGGGATTTCTCTAACTAAAGGTTTTTCCCTTCCCCTAGTGAGGACCCTTAGTTCCTGGGCCTGTACATTTTTATACAATGAAAGCCTGCTATTATAGAAGGGGAAACATGTTATCTGGGGCTCTGCCAGGAGGCAAATGGGACCCCCAAGCTCTCTATACAAATCACGTTGAATCACAGCCTTGGTGACAGAAGACCTGAAGCTAACTTATGGCTAAAGGGGCAGGAAAGCTGAGTTTTCCAGCTCAAATGAAACGATCAACAACTAGGTCTACCTACATGTGGCACAAGTCCAGGTACTTTGGTAATTAACCCTGACCAGAGTCTCATAAATATTAGGGTTGCTGCCTTGGCATCCATTTTCAGGCCTAGTATCCACTGTTTGAAACTCAGACACTACCCTCACCTTTGGCCTAGTTCAAACTTCCCCTCCCTGTGTGGTTAGTTGAGTCTAACACCTCAGTGACCCCAAACCCAGCACACCTCACAGTTGCTGACCACAATTAAACCCAGTGGTCTAGACCAGTTATATAAGCAAGTTCGCCCACTTTGTGCATGTCTTTTTCTTTTGAGTGAGAAAGCATACACATGAGAGGGTAGTGAGAGATACAGGCACTCCTGAGAGTCTCCTTGAGTCCCCAGCCCTCCAGTCAATTGGGATCACAGGCACATGTGTGCCTGTGTGTTCCAGGAAAGACTTGGGACACAAAGTTCAGTCGGCAATGTGGCTCCAGCACTGCAGATCGGCCCTGGCTGCCCATGACCCAGGTCTGGGTATGTTTTCTTTAATCTAGTTCATCTCTACCTCCTGGGAAAGCCTAATGGCTAACACCGATAGACCTTAACAAAGCCACAGTCCCACTGGCTGCCTCCTCTGTCTCTTTCTTGCTCCTGACCCTCTTGTTGGGCCTGGGTGTCCAAAAGCTTCCCTGTTCTTCCCAGTGGTCCTGCGAGCATGCTGTCCTCTTCTCCCAGGGATCTACAATAATGAGCGGCTTTGTATTTTGCAGATTTACCTCCTCTGACTGACCTTAGTGTAGCTTCTCTCCTGCAGAGGACTTCTTTAGCAGGGACACACAGGACACAGGTTAGACAAGAAACACAAAGGTACCGGCCAGTACAAACAAACTCCTTGTGAGGAGGACACCTTATCACAGGCCAGTTAGCATTAGCGTGTTAGGGCAGAGACAGAGATTATAGTCATTCTCTTGAGAGAGACCTCCTGACCAAATTAGAAAGAAAAAACACACAACAGTGACCATCAGTACTGTAATCAGGATTGAGTCACACCTTTCAAGCTAGAAGGAATCTCTGAACATAAGCTCAGTCAGCCGCGAGGGGAAGTAGTGAAGTTCGGCTGGTGAGGCCCATTCCACCAGGGTTGTCCCTCTTTTCTTATTTATCTCTGTCGGCTCCAAATAAGGACTAAGAGCTAATATTGTAGGCTGGGAACCACATGCCTGCAGTTACCTGGGCCTTTCTCTTAGGTGAAATAAGGGGCAGAAGGAGGTGACGCAATGGCCTGCAGAACAGGCTTCCTATCCCAGCACTGTTCCATGTGGAATATTCCTGAAGTGGCTCGTTCCCTTTCAGGAGTACCTGGCAGAATCTGATCCTGTTCTTACAAGTGAGGAGGGAGGCAGCCCCTACAGAAGAACCAGGAGCCACTGCCCTCACAGCGGGAACAAGAGCTGCCACATAACCTGTTAGTAGCCTGTGAGGGGTCTACCTCAGCCCCACAGGCGAGGGCCGAGTTCTCCTTTCCACCCCTCTGCCAGCCTGCCCCCAAACAAACCCACACTCACCAGGCCTGTAGGTCACAAGGCAGTGTCGGGTGCTGCTCTCTGTCTGAAAGTCTACGCAGCCTCCGGGCTCCAAAGGCAGCACATGGGGCCAATGAGAAAAGCCCATTTTCAGCTCCCAGAAGGAAGCACCCTCCAAGGTTCCAGCGAGCAGCCCACCACACGGAAAGGTAGGTGAGGCAGCTCTGGGTATGTATGACAGGGACACCAGTGGGCATCTGAAGGGACAGAAAGGAAACCAGGCCTCAGATTCCAATTAAGGGATGTTCCAGACCCCACTACCAGGTGCCTGTGAGCACATTCCTACCTCTACAGAAGAGATTAAAAACCTACAGATCTCTCTGGTCAAATCAAAACTAATTAATTAATTAAATTAAAATATAATTCTTCCTTAAAAAATTATTTATTTTGGGAACCAGCAGTTAGTGTAATGGCTATGTCGCTGGCTATGTCCCACGCAGTCGACTGCAGTTCGCGTCCCCAACCCGGTGGCTTAAAACTCACGCCGGGTGGCGTGTGCGTGCGTGCCCGCCCAAGATCCCGAGAGGAGAATGGAGCAGAAGGGATTGCGGTGCGACCATCCCCCCTGGGGGGTGATTTCTCGCTTTCTGCCTCTATGTCTCTCTCTGTCTGTCTGGCGAGCGCACGCACCCTATAGCGAAAAACTTCTCAAAAAAAAAAAAAATTATTTATTTTAATTTGACAGGCGGTGAGGAGAGAGAAAGGGAAAGCGAGAAAGCAAGTTTCCAGGTCTATATATATATTTTTAAAAATATATTTTGAGAGTTTTAGTAGGAAGTTTCCAGGAAAGGAATTAGCCACATATATACATAAAGAAGAGCCAAAGAGCCAGCAGGTGGCATGGTGGTTAAGGTGCTGGACTCCCATATGGCCAGACCTGGAAACTTGCTTTCTCGCTTTCCCTTTCTCTCTCTCTGGTCAAATTAAAATAATAACAAACAAAACAAAATTAAAAATTCTTAAAAAAAAAAAAAAGAAAAGAAAAGAAAAGCCAAGAGAGCCAGCTGGGTGGTGGGGTGAAGGTAGCTGGATCCATGACAATGTGTTGAATCCTCAACCTGGGGACTTGACTGCAACATGGTCATCCCCTCTGTGAGGCGAAGTCTCACTTTCTCTTTCACAAGTACATGCATCCTATAGCAAAATTTAACAAAAAAACAAAACAAAACAAAACAAGAAGAAAATCAGCTTATATTATACATCAAATAAAATAAAGGTTCCAAGCCAGAGTTGAGAGATTTTGCAATTAAAATATAGCCTAGCAACTACATTTTAAATTCAGAAACAGAATTTTTTCTTCAGAATTTTGAAATTTCTTTCTGCAAACATATGACCAGGATAGTATGCCAAGAATTCTCTTGGGAACACCAGTCTACAGACTCTATTCCTAAACTCATTTCTGCTGAGTTTCCAGTGACAAATTTGTCTGTTTTAGTTCATTTCCCTGTCACAGTGAGGCTAATCAAAGTAAACTAACACAAAAAGAACAATATGAACATTTTCTCCTTGCCATTTTTCAATTCCCTATATTTTACTATCTACTCTACAGGAGTCCCGCCATGCCAACGTTACCTGTTTGCCTGGAGTTCTTATTGATCATCTTTATGCCCACGAACCACATCACTGAAGTGTGATCCCACTAATTCAAATGAAAAATTCTAAACCACCGAGCCTTGGTTTCAGCAAGTAATTGTTACCGTGGTGACTTCTTTAAGTACAGATCCTGTTGTGCCTTCAAATATCCGTTCAAATAAGAAATTCTCTCTTAAGATCATTTTCATCTTGGCCAGGGTATAGGCCCCACTCCCCCTTTGAGAACTTCAGGTCTCCAGGATAGTATTATGCTCAAAGAGCACTCAACAGATTCAGAGGAGCAACCCTGGTGCCAGCAGCCACCCAGGTACTGGCACTTACCCATTTCACAATTGGGACTGACTTTACGAATGACCCAATCCCACAACTACATTATTGTATTTTGATTATGATTAGTATTTATGATAAATAACAGCAATATGATATCCTTAGACCAACGTGGCTTAGCTATGGAGTGACAAGCTTTAAATCACTTTCTGTTAGGTTACCTTTATGGACTTCTTCCTATGTGCTAGACATGTAGTTATTAAAGCAAGTCTACAGTAACCAGGTTTTATAATGATGACACAACAGGCCAAGAAACAGGACTATACGGTCACACAGTTTGTGAATAGCAGAGATAGGTTCTGATTCTGTTTTGTCAGACTGGATGATCACTGCCTCTGTGAAGCTGGCTACACTCGGAACCAGAGCTGCTTTCCTCCACACGAAAAAGCAAATAAACTCCAAGGACCTTACTGATTCTGAAGTGAGAAGAGATCAGTGGATCTTAGATAACTGCCCTGTGCGAGGACTTCTAACCAATTAAGGAACACTCTGAAAAGAGGATTAATCCAAAACGTCCCAGAGAAAGCTGCTACCTACAGGAAAGAAGTGAGTATTTCCCTACCTGGCTTTCTGAGGTACCAACTCTTGGACATGACAGCTTGTGTTTCGTAGATCATATACCAGAATTGAACCATTGGCCAGTCCAGCATAGATGTAATTATTTTCATCAAGACACCAGCAGCAGCTCCAGACAGGACGCCCAGCATTGTAAGTTTGAACAACAGTGTTTGTCTCCAGGCTATGGAATTATGAGAGAATTTAAAAATGACTCATTAAGAAAATAAAATATGAGAAACTAGCAGGTGGCGTGGCAGTTAAGGCATCAGACACTTTCTCATGGCCAACCATGGTTCAAATCCCAGATCTCGTGGCTTGCTTTCTCACTTTCCCTCTCAGTCTTTTCCCAGTCAAATTAAAATAAATGAATGAACCAATAAAACTAAAGGAATAATTCTTTAAGAAAAAAAGAAAAGAAAATACATGACAAAGATGTCAAAATCACCATCTAAATGACCGATAACCCTTGAGAACACACCTACACACTCCAACTATCTAGATTTTTAAGTCCTCTAGGGACTGCCCAGATAAACCCTTTAAATTCTAAAATATTTGTTTTTGGGGCCACACATTTTTCTTTTGGGCTGCAAGGATGAAAGAATAGGTTAAAGACATATACAGTATATTTCCCACTCTATTCTTATTACCCTCTCCACAGTTATAGGTAACCAACACACAAGCTTAGAAATTAGAAAATACACTTAAGAAAAATTGCCCAGCTTGCTGCCATAGTCTGCAACAACCCGAACTACAGTGCTAGAAGCCCATGGATGACTGTGGGTTCTGAATCCCCAAGTCAGCCTGAAAACATAGATCAGGCCTATGGCCACGATCCTGAAGAGCTAGAAAGTGGAGAAAAGAGACCATAGAGGGAAAAGACCTTATTGAGGGTACTCTCCTCAACCTTACTCTTGCGTGAGTGCACACACTCTCTATCATGAATGAAATAAACTTTACAAAGACACAGCATATATACAAATACAATGTTACACTGAGCTGCCCAAAATTAAGCTAAAACTTATTATTTGTTTTAAGCTAGAAGGTGCATGTACTTGTCAGAGACAGAGGAGAAAGCACCCACCATGAGGAACAGTAATGAGGCAATCCCTTCCCCTCCATATCTCACTCCTTTAGGGATTTTGGGCACACACACCCATGTGCTTGGCAGGTTTCTCAAGCCACTGGGTCTGGAACTTGAACCACAGGTTTGGCCATGTGGGATCCAGCTGCCTAAATCACCAGGCCATGAAGCCAGCCCTCCCACCCCTTTCAATTGCCAGAGGGCATGTACACATGCCAGAGAAAGAGAGATGGAAGAGATAGCACCCCATCTCCAACAGGGAATGATCATGCCATTATCTTTCTTCCATTTCTCCATCCCCTCAGGATTCTGGGCATACACGCACATGAACCCAGCGTATCATTCAAGTTGCCAGGGTCAGTACCCAAAATTGTGGTCATTCGTGTAGGATCTGGCCCCCACTGTGCTATAGGGCTGGCCCAAACTGAAGCAATCCTCATCAGTCCTAATAGTGCTATCAGGAAGTCCCACAGATTTAGATGCAGGGACCAGCAGTTAGCATAATGGCTATGTCACTAGACTCCCATGTAGTCGACCGTGGTTTGAGTCTTGGACCCGGTGGCTTAAACTCACACTGGGCGCGTGTGCTTGCATGCCCAAGATCCCGAGAAGAGAATGGAGGAGAGGGGATTATGGCGTGGCTATCCCCCGTGGAGGGGTGATTTCTCACTTTTTGTCTCACTCTGTCTTTCTAGCGAGCCCACGTACCCTATAGTAAAAACCTCTCCAAAAAAGAAAAGAAAACTATTTAGATGCAAAAATTAACTATAGCACAGTGATCAGAACTACTTCCTACAAGATAAAGGCATGGAGCCAGCAGATGGTGTGGTGGTTAAGGTACCGGACTCCTACATGGCCCACCATGGTTCAAGTCCTGGCTGGGTGGATTGAAAATCATGTTAGGCAGGGGTGCTGGTAGGTAGTGTAGTGGTTAGGGCGCTAGACTCCCACATGGCTGACTTCTATTCAAGTGCTGGATGTGGAGGTTTGCTTTCTCAATTTCTCTCTCTCTGGTGAGTGTGCATACCCTATAGCAAAAATGAATGAATGATATTAAATAATTAATTATTTAAAAAAGAAAGAGGGGCCAACAAATGGCACGGTGGTTAAGGGCGCTGGACTCCCACATGGTTGACCAAGGTTTGTGTACTAGACCTGACGGGTTGCTTTCTCACTTTCTCTCTCTCTCTCTCTGTCCTTATCTGGTAAAAAAATAAATTAAAATAATAAAATAAATAAATAAAGTTAAATGCTTCTTTAAAAAAAAGAAAGGGGGGGGTAGTTAAGGATGCTAGATTCCCACACAGCCAACTGTGGTTTGGGTCCTGGACCTGGTGGCTTGCTTTCTCACTTTCCTTTTCTCTCTCTCTGGTCAAATTAAAAAAAAATAATAACAACAAATGAAATTAAATAAATAAGTAATTCTAAAAAAAAAAAAAAAGAAAGAAAGAAAAGAAAATCAAGCTGGGTAGGTGTGCGTGCATACCCAAAATCCTGAAAGGAGAACAGAGAGGTATTGAAGCACGGAAATCACCCCTGGCGGGTGAGTTCTCATTTTCCCTCTCACTGTTTGTCTCTAGCTGACACACGCACCCTACGGCAAAAACCTAAAACAGATAGAGGCATGGAGCATACTGAGATTAGGTCCACAGTACTCACAGAATGTGGGAAGATAAAATGTCATAATTAGCTCAGGCTATGTAAGAAGTCATCATAGTACTCAAGGACAGCAAGTGCCTGCCAAACATTTTTTTGTTAGGCAGAAATAGCCAATCAACAGACCAGGAATAACAGTCTTAAGCTGATATGGCGATTGCTCAGTGTCAGGTACCGAGGCTACCTTCGTGCTATTATTTCACCATCTCTAGAGGTCATCTTTAATGTTTAAGATGTATTTCATTAACACATATATTTGTAAAGATATAGGATACTATAGCCATAGTTTTGTAATCTGCTATTTCCACCTTTAAAAGCAATACATTTTGGGACCAGGAGATGGTGTAATGGTTATGTCACTGGACTCCTGTATAGCTAACCACAGTTCGAATATTGGGACCGGCAGTTTAAAACTCAAGCCAGGTGCATGTGCATGCATGCCCCAAATCCCGAGAGGAATGGAGGAAAAGGATTGCAGTGTGGCCATTCCCACTGGGGGTGGGGGGTGGGAGGGACACGTGATTTCTTGCTTTCTATCTGTCTCTGTGGCGAGTGCACATGCCCTATAGCAAAAATCCCCTCTTGCAAAAACAACAAAAAAATAAAAGCAATAAGTTTTAAATGGATCTCAGAAGACAATGTCTCAGACCAAAACGGAGAAGCCATCATCACACTAATACTATTAATAATTCAACACCAAGCAGCCCAGTCCCCATCCTCCTTCCCAAAGCACTCACCTGGTCAGTTTCACAGTGTTGTCTAGAGAAGCAGAGAGCAGTAAGCCTTTGGACCGACTGCTGAAAGCTAGTCCGCGGATCTGTTTGCCATGCATCGGAATGTACTGACTGCTTTTCATGTTGGCAGTACTCAACATCTTAACACCAAAGCCTGCCAAAGAGAAGAGAGTATAAACAAGCTCACTGAAGGTCAACTTAAGCCATGCAAACTACCCTTCCAAGTAGGTCCTTTGTTCACTTTTCTTGGCATGGTAAGTCCCTGAGAAACAACTGGTCCAATAAAGAAAATAACAATTCTCCAGTGTTGGGGTCAGTTAGTGGTGTGTGTGGTTAAAGTCCTGGCCAGCAGCTTGAAAGACATGAGGTGTGTGTGTGTGTGTGTGCCCAAATTCCTGATAAACTAAAGAAATGGAGAAAGGGTTGCAGCATGCCTATTCCCTGTGGGGGTGGCTTGCTCACTTTCCCTCTCTCTGACCCACCAGCAAGTGCACATGCTCTCTGGCAAATTAAAACAAAACAAACCTCAGTGTTATAATTTAAAAACATACAACCTGGGGCTGGCAGGTGGCACAGTGCTTAAGGTGCTGGACTCCCACATGGCCAACCACAGTTCGAGTGTCGAACTTGGGGGCATTCTTTCTCACTTTCCCTTTCTCTCTCTCTGATCAAATGAAAAATAATAATAACAAATAAAATAAAATAATTCTTTTTAAAACAATAAATAAAAACACACAATCCATTCCAAATGTCCATCATTAAATCAATGGATAAACAAATTCATGAAATACATATTACCAAAGACTATCTGCAATAAAAAGAAACAAAACTACAAACTATTGATATAAAAACAAAACAAAATTATGTTGAAAGAATTCAGACCAGGGCCCAGCAGGTGGCATCGTTGTTAAGGTGCTAGACACTTCCACCTGGCTGACCACAGTTCAAGTCGCAGACCTAGTGGCTTGCTTTCTCAGTTTCTCTCTGGTCAAATTAAAATAAATGAATGAATAAATTAAAAAATTAAATAATTCTTAAGAAGCCAGACCCCCCCCCAAAAAAAAAAAAGTAACTTAAAGACAAAAAGCAAATCAGTGGTTTCCTGGGGGTGGGGAGAAAATGGAAGGACAGGTGAGAGAGGTTATAAAAGGCCATAAGAAAACGTTTGGGATGACAGATACATTCATTATCTTGACCATACTGACAGTCTCAGGACTGAACACATAGGCAGTTACTTTGAAAAGGTGGTGATCAAATGGAATTTAAGTATGAGGTTATTTTGGTGTAAAAAAAAAATCCAGGGGCCAGCTAAGTAGCATGGTGATTAAGGCACTGGATTCCCACGTAGCTGGCTATATAATTAAAGTCCCAGACCTGGCAGCTTGCTTTCTGTATCTCTCTCTCTGGTGAGCACATATGCCCTATAGCACATTAATAAATAATAATAAATAATCCTTAAAATTTTGTTCAGTTTTTTATTAATATACATTTCCCATAAACTTTTTCAAAGAATTATTTTATTTAGCTTTATTTTATTAATTAATTTATTTAAATTAGACCAGAGAAGGATAGAAAAAGAGTGAGAGAAAGAGAGAGAAAATGAGGAAGCAAGCCACCAGGTCTGGGACTTAAACCATGGTTGGCCATGTGGGAGTCCAGTGCCCTTAACCACCACGCCACCTGCTGGCCCCTCCCATGAACTTCTGAAGTCCCCTTGTATGTCAAAACTTGTCAAATAGTATACTCTAGATACATTTGGTTTATTTTAAGGCAATGAAATTTCAGTAATTTTTTTTTTTTGGACACTTTTTGCTGTAGGGTGCGTGCACTCACCAGAAAGACAGAGACAGACAGAGAGAAAGAAAGCGAGAATTCACCCCCCAAAGGGTGTTGGCCACACCACAATTCCTTCTCCATTCTCCTCTTGGAATCTTGGGCACGCACACATATACACCTGGCGTGAGTTTAAGCCACTGGGTCTGGACTTGAACCGCAGTTGAGTACATGGGAGTCCAGCAACATAGCCATTATGCCAACTGCTGGTCCTAAACTATTAAAAAGTTAGAAAGAATATTCCTGAATAAGAACATTTAACCTGAACAAGAACATTCGACCTGAACAGACACTCAATTTCAGAAGAACAATCAAAAACCAAGAACAGAGACAGGCAGTTTCTATGTCAGCTGGTCAGTATATGCTACAACTGACTGAAAGGATATCCATATATGTGAAAACCCCATGTTCTTGGAAAAGAATAGAGATTCATAAGACGAAGGGAGATAATGATTTAGAGATAAGAGATAATGGTTAGTCAGTTACTGACTTCTTCATTTAACTTGTTTTCTGTCTTAGAAAAATCACTATTATAAAACTTTAAAATGTCACCTTTTTCAATAAAGATTTAATTTTTTAAGTAAAAAGAAATATAAAGAACTAAAATTTTTCTCTAGATCTTTATTGCAAAGAAGACACTGAAAAGGGGATATTTATAAATAAAGATATAAACTAAAGTATAATTTATTCAAATATTATCAGGAAGACATACTTACTAAGGAGCTGAGTTGGTATCTTTTGTTTAAAATAATTATTTTATTTAGTTTTATTTATTTGTTTATTTATTTTAATTTGACCAGAGAGGGACAGAGTGAGAGAGAGAGAAAATGAGGAAGCAAGCCACCAGGTCTGGGACTTAAACCATGGTTGGCCATGTGGGAGTCCAGTGCCCTTAACCACCACGCCACCTGCTGGCCCCTCCCATGAACTTCTGAAGTCCCCTTGTATGTCAAAACTTGTCAAATAGTATACTCTAGATACATTTGGTTTATTTTAAGGCAATGAAATTTCAGTAATTTTTTTTTTTTGGACACTTTTTGCTGTAGGGTGCGTGCACTCACCAGAAAGACAGAGACAGACAGAGAGAAAGAAAGCGAGAATTCACCCCCCAAAGGGTGTTGGCCACACCACAATTCCTTCTCCATTCTCCTCTTGGAATCTTGGGCACGCACACATATACACCTGGCGTGAGTTTAAGCCACTGGGTCTGGACTTGAACCGCAGTTGAGTACATGGGAGTCCAGCAACATAGCCATTATGCCAACTGCTGGTCCTAAACTATTAAAAAGTTAGAAAGAATATTCCTGAATAAGAACATTTAACCTGAACAAGAACATTCGACCTGAACAGACACTCAATTTCAGAAGAACAATCAAAAACCAAGAACAGAGACAGGCAGTTTCTATGTCAGCTGGTCAGTATATGCTACAACTGACTGAAAGGAAATAAAATCTATGATATCTAAGCACCCAATCAATACATAACATTTCTGGATGGAGGAAAAACAACAAAAACTTGTCTCTTTGTGGAGCGGAGGGGATGAAACTTGGAAAAGTAACTTACCAATTTAAATGTATTTGTTACTGTTCCTTTAACAGGTTATGATAGCAAAGTTATTTCCACTAAGTATCTGATACTGAGTTATTGAAAAAAAAAACAGAACTTGTCAAATCTTGGGTTCAAGATAGCCTTGAATCTTATATCAGTTCCTCCAGGGAAATAAAAGGGAGAAAGTTGCTTGCATTTTCTTTTAAAAGAGAATTAGAAGGCAGAGAGACAGACAGGGAGACTATAGGCATTAAGTCCACAAAGGAACATGATGAATATACAGGCCTAGTTAATTATGAAGGGGAGCACAGACAAATCAGTGCACCAGCAAGCTCGAAAGCAGAGCTAGTGGAGCAGGCTGGAGTAGACAACTGAGAAAAAAGGAACAGAACATGGACCTGATTTGGGTACACTAGAAGAAACAGCATTTTTTCAATTTGTAGGAAGGTTTTATTTGGTGATAAATCTTTATTTAAAAATTTCTGGTAGAGGACACAGACAAGTGGGGGAGGGAGCATCTGCTATGGGGGATTGTCACACCATAATTCCTTCTCCTCCATTTCTCTCAGGGTTCTGGAAATACATGCACATGTGCCTGGTGTGTTTTTTAAGCCACTGAGTCTGAGACTTTGACCTGCACAACTGATTATGTGGTATCTAGCTGCCTTAACCACTATGCCACTGGCTGGTCCATAAATCTTTTTTTTGGGGAAGAATTATTTTATTTAACTCTATTTATTTTCATTTGATCAGAGATAGAGTGAGCAAGAGAGAGGACGAGAAGCAAGATGCCAGATCCGGGACTCAAACCGCAGTTGGCCATTTGGGAGTCCAGTGCCCTTAACCACCTCGCCATAAATCTTTTTATTAAAAACTTATGTGGGTGGGACCAGCAGATGGCGTAATGGTTATATTGCTGGATTCTCATGTAGTCGACTGTAGTTCGAGTCCTGGACCCGGTGGCATAAAACTCACGCCAGATGAATGTGCACGTGTGCTTAAAGTCCCAAGAGGAGAATGGAGAAGGTATTGCGGCAAGACCATTCCCCCCTGGGAAGTGATTTCTAGATTTTGATCTGTCTCTTTAGTGAGCACACATATCCCACAGCAAAAATCTCTCTAAAAAAAGTCTGGTCCCATACTTTTCTTTGGATAATAAGTAGGACATAAACTTTCTCCAGGACCTGGTAGCTTCAAGTTCATGCCAGGAGCATGAGCGTGCGTGCCTAAGATCCCGGGAGAATAGAGAAGGGGCTGCAGCGTGGCCATTCCCCATGGGGGGTGATTTCTCACGGTCCTTCTCACTGTCTGTCTCTCTGGAGAGTGCATGTGCCCTATGGCAAAAACTTAAAAAAAAAAAAAAAAAAAAAAGAGGCGGGGAGAGGAAAGCTGAGGTTCTCAGTTTACCTGGAAGAAAGGAAGCCTCAGGAGAAGGTTGCGACACCACCAGGCAACTCAGAGAATCACAGTAAGCCATGATTCGGCAGTTTCCGGTCTGAGACACGGGGAAAGTCTTCTGCAGGTGGTACCTATGCTGGCGCTGGCTGGGAGGCAGGCAGTTCAGGATATGTGTTGGTGAGCCTCCGGTCTGTTGTAAAATCTGATCCCGATGCTGCACAATAAGTTTTTGCAAGTCCTAAAATGAAAAGAATTTTGTAAATGAAGCTTCCTCATTTGATATTCCCTATAACACTGTTTCTTGATTTGATACAAAAAGATTCCTCATTCATTATGTAAAAATATTATGAATCCTAGAGAACTGCTGAGTTTTTACATTATTTCAACAAGCACTGACATAAGGAGGGTACAGAATCAAAATATTAAGAGTTGAAAGTCCTTACTAGTTGTTTTGTGTACAGCCCTTCATTTTACTGGTAAATGCAGAAGAGGTACAGTAACTTAAGCAAGTTTAGAATTCTCAGCTGGCTATTTAAATTCTTCTAAAATTCAGACTGCTAAAGAATTCATCATAAAGTATGTAAAGTTTCAGACAAATAACCTAATAAACAAAATCAGTCATACTTCTTTTCCAAATAACTTGGCAAGTCCTATGTTTTAGAAATGAGCTCAAGTTAATATTTATTTATTATATTTTTTAAAAAGTAGGGCCTAAGGTTAGAGCAAAAGAAAGACATAATGGCAAAAATGATGTCACAGAATGGTCTCTGTCCCTCTGACTGACAGGCGCCACTGGTATATTCCCAGGGCATGGACGCAGTCAAGGGTTTTCTCTCAGCACCAGCTACCAAATCCTAGCCCCACTGTATCAGGGGGGACCTGTGAAAGTGCTAGAGTAATATATATATATTCTCTTCTATCCCTACCCAAACGTTCCCCGGGTTAGAACAAGCAAACTTACCTGGACACGACTGTGAAGTCTAGTGCATTCATCAGTGAGGACCTGAAGTTGGAGCCTGCACTGTGCCGATTCTAACTCGGCCTGTCTCCTTAGTGTCTGCTCCTTCTGCATGGCACTAGCAGGGGAAAATCAGCAACAGGTGGGGATCAGGAAGGCTGTAGAAGACTGCCCATGAAAATGGCACAGCAAGTTCATACTGTGATACATATGCTTTGCTGCAAATACACCATGACCAACATGCAGGGTATAGGTATTGCATGCCCAAAATCCAGAGAGGAGAATGGAAGAGAAGGGATTGTGGTGTGGCCACCCTTTGCCCTGCCCCAGAAGTGATTTCTCACTTTCCCTCTCTGGTGAGGGCAAGTAACAACCACCAGGAAAGTGAACAAACTATAACGAGAGAGAAAACATTTTCAAATCCAGAAATATTACAGAAGAGCAGCATGTAGGGCTGAACTCATACTGGGCTTCGTTGTTCAAGCAGGCAGTGATGGTCAAACGCTCAATTTCCACTAGGGACTAAAAATGCCACATGCAGGACCAGCAGATGGCATAATGGCTATGTCGCTGGACTCCCATGTAGTCAACCATGGTTCGAATCCTGGGCCCAGTGGCTTAAACTCATGCCGGACGTGTGTGCGTGTGTGCCCAAGATCCCGAGAGGAGAATGGAGGAGGAGGACTGCGGCATGGCCATCCCCTGGGGGAGTGATTTCTCGCTTTCTGTCTCTCTGTCTTTCTGGAGAAGGAATAGGCACAAAGAGACCAATGTATAAGAACACATTTGTCAAGATCAAGAGCCATAAATTTGTACACAGCTAAAAATAGTTTTAAAATGTGATATGCAAAGAAAGAATTCAATTCCAATGTTAGGAAACAAACAACCAAAAAAAGCTGGAAACGAGAGATAAAGCTGCCCTTAATAATTCGCATGGGAAATCCAAGAAAACCTATAAATTATTACAAATTATTAAAGTTATTGGAATGAAGACAAAAAAAGTTTATCAGTACCATTCTTCCAAATGGTAAGTGATTAGTAAAGGAAATAAAAATATCCCCTTGCAACAGCAATTTTAATAATAGCAAACTAGGATAAAGTTAAAGGACAGGACCTTAATGAGTGAGGTACACTTGTAAAAGATGAAGGGAAAAACTAAGGCTATTGTGTTATGTCCATGACTGAAAAGACTCAGTACCCGAAGACCACATTTTCAAGTTAGGAAAAAAATTTTTTTTTGCTATAGGGCATGTGCGCTTGCCAGACAGACAGAATGACAGAAAGCGAGAAATCACCCCCCAGGGGGGATGGCCATGCTGCAATCTCTTCTCCTCCATTCTCCTCTCGGGATCTTGGGCACACATGCACATGTGCCTGGCATGAGTTTTACACCACTGGGTCCAGGACGTGACCTGCAGTCGACTACATGGGAGTCCAGCGACATAGCCAGTATGCTAACTGCTGGTCCCTCAAGTTAGGAAATATTGAAGAATGTAGTTAAAAGGACACACATACAACTCTTTTTTTTTTTTTTTAAAGGAGGTTTTTGCCTTAGGGCATGTGGGCTTGTCGGAGGTAAGAGACACAGTGAGGGGGGAAAGTGAAAAATCATCCCTCCAGAGAGGAGGGCCATGCCCCAGTCCTTCTTCCTCCTAGGATCTTGAGCAAGCAAGCACAAGCTCCCGGTGTGAGTTTTAAGCCACCACATTCAGGACTCAAACCACAGTCAGTTATATGGGAGTCCAGTGATGTCACCACTACGCCATCTGTTGGTACCAAGAGGATATATCGGTAAAACTGACTACATTAACATAAAAACAAAACTAGTGGGGCCAGCAGGTGGTAGTTAAGGTGCTGGACTCCTCCTACATGGCCAACTGTGTTTTGAATCCTGGACCTGGTGGGACTGAGTATTTGCAGTATATATAGCCAACAAAAAATGAGTGGAAAGAAAACATAAAGAACACTTATAAATCAGTAAGACAGTAATTAAGGTAATGTAAAACAAAGCAAAATACTCTTTCACCCCATGAAACAGTATAAATAAATATTAAGTGTGATAAATAGGAGGGGCCATGGGACCAGCAGGTGGTGTGATGGTTACGGGTGCTGGACTCCCATATGGCCAACAGCGGTTCGATTCCTGGACCTGCGGGCTCACGTGCTCGCTCTCGCTCTCTCTCTCTCTCACTATCCCTTTCTGGTCAAATTAAAACAAACAAACAAGTAAATAAAGTAGAATAATTCTTTTAAAAAAATCTTAAAAATAATAATAAAAAAAAGAGGGGCCAGCAGGTGGCACAGAGGTTAAGGCAGCTAGATCTAGCATGGCTGACTTTGTGGTTAAGAGTCCCAGACTTGGCAGCTTGAAAATTATGCGAGGCACATGTGCACGTGTGCCCAAAATCCCAAGAGGAGAAAAGACTGCGATATGGCCATGCCCCTTGTGGGGGATGATTGCATACCCTCCCTGTTTCTCTCTCTCCGGCAAACACATGCATCCCTATAGCAAAAAAGTGGTAAAAGAGAGTAATGAAAACATAAGAAATATTTTACATAGCTGATGGTAGAAATATTAATTAAAGATGGGCCAGCAGGTGGCATGGTGGTTAAGGGCGCTGGACTCCCATATGGCTGACTGCAGTTTGAGTCTTGGACCTAGCAGCTT